GAAATTCTGCTTCTCTGAACTTGAGTGTCTCCATCTAAGAAATGGGCATATTAGAAAATGTTGGCAAAGAAGGACTCAGTGAGATGATGCTTAAGATTAGCACCTCACACATTCTAGTAAAGAGTTGTTGATATTACTACGTGGCTCTGATGGGCACTGCCCTCAGCATGCCGGTCCTTCATCCCTAGGGTCCTGCTTGGGGGTGCCAGCTCCTTCTACCACATTCTGATGAACTCTTCAGCATGGGCTAAGGTAGAAAGTGAGGCTAAGAGAGGCTGAGTGAATGGTCCAAGGCTCACAGTTGGTATAACAAAGGGATAGCACCTCACATTAGGTGTTCCTAGTCCAACCTAGGGCTCTGTCCCATCAGCATGTGATCAAGGCACATGACCAGATCTCAAGTCATAGTGGTAGGTGTGAGCATCAGGGGGAGGGGAGTCTAATTTTTCTAAAATACATCAGAAAGACGAGTCTTCATCATGGGGACTTTCTTGCTGGTGACACTATTCTTTCCCATGAAAAAGCGGAGTGCTCCTGGACTTCTCAGCTTCACTCAGTTAACTAATGTAGTCTGGGAGGACCCACCCTGGCTGGGGCTCTCCCATCTGAACCCACAATAGTCTGACTGAGGGCCAGAAGGTGGCAGGGGCTGGACCAAAGCCCAGCTCTGTCAGATCCCCAAACCTGGGACCTCAATAAGCTGGCAGCACATCCTTTTCCCTAATTCTAAGCAGCCCAGGCCTGTCTGTAATCCCCCTAGCCAGTATCTATTCTGAACTCAGCAGATCTTGTAGGATTGCTCTTGTAGTCTCTCCACCTTGAAATAAAAAACCGAGCTATACTTCACCACAAAGCTCACCCAAGCACCTCTCAGCAGTTTCCCATGTATTCACACAGTAAGTAATCATGACCACTGGCTAATTCTAGAATATCACTTCCAAAAGATACCCAGTACTCACAGGCAGTGTCTGCCCATCATCTCTTCCCCCAGCCCTGTGGGATCACCTCGTCTAGACACAATCACCAATTTTAACTTGTAGCTCTTAGGGAAAGAAGCAACAGAGGGCAGAGTAGCTAAGAGCTCAGGCTTTGACATCACATATGAAGCCTCAAATCTGAGTTCTGCCACACCTGCTGTGGGATTTGGGTAAAAGACTGAACCTGTCTGAGCTTAGCCTTCTTTACCTACGTAATCTGATAAGCTTGTTCCAAGGATGAAATAAACTACTCTCTCCACATATGAGGCAGGCCTGGGCCCACAAACTGCTTCAGAATGCCAGCTGTTTTTATTGACAGCACCCCATGCCATCAAGGAGAGAATCAGGCAGGGAAGTAAAGGGGTGTGCTGAAGCCCCTTCCCCCTACTGGCATGAAGCTGGGCCCCAGGTCTGCTGATCTTCTGCTTTTCCCATTAAGTCACACTAGCCCAGTTGCTCCTCCACCAGGCCTCAGCCACCCTCCACTCTATGAGCCAAGTTACTTCTAAAAAATATTAAGGCCATGTGCCAGATGGGACATGGAATAATGACATCATCCTGTGGGAGTGCTGTGGCCCCTCATGGGCTGGCCTCCTCACCTGGTCCTTGGGGACAGCTGAGTTGAGCTGCCTAACCTCTCCCACCCCTGTGGGGGTAGATGGGAGGGTGCGAAGGGCTGCTTCCAGCCTGAACCAGACCCACTGGAATTACATGGTTTCCCCACTCTGCCACCCATCTGGGACTCTTTAAAGTTGGCTGAAGCTGGGCCTCTGGACAGACTCACCATGGCAGGGATGGTGGCCTGAGGCAGCCGTTTAAGTTCCAGCAAACTATGCCAAGCTGGGGGAAAAAGTCTGACTTTTAAGTTGTGGTAAAAATTAAGTTAGTTAGAACAAGAGCACAGGGGAGTGGAGGATTTGGGTTGGGAAGACCCGTGGCCAGACTGGGCTCCAGCACTTGCAAAAAATGTCAGTGGGAGGGGCTGGAGAGATGGCTCAGTGGTTAAGAGCACTGGATGCTCTTGCAGAGGACCTGGGTTCGATTCCCAGCACCCACATGGCAGCTACGAACCATCTTTAACTCCAGTTCCAGGGAAATCTGACACCCTCTTCTGACCTCTGTGGCACGACACAGGTGCACTCACATACATGCAGTCAATATACTCATACACAGAAAATAAAAATAACAAATAATAATTAAAAATAAATAAATAAAAAGTAAAATTATTTTAAAAAATGTCAGTGGGAGCACCACATCCATACAGGAGGACAGATGACAGCTAATGGGCTGAGCCAGGTCCATCTCATTTAACTGTCACAAACACATCAGGGAGACACTTTCCCATTACGCAGAGGAGGAAACTAAGGCTCAGAAACCTACAGAGGTGACAACAAGTTGAGACCTGAATAGGCAAAGCTGAGCCTTGAATCTCAGCCTGTCTTTGGCCTCAGGCTAGGCTGGAATAGGGAAGTCAAGTAACAGTTTAAGCCACATGCTTCAACATGCCAGCAATTAGACACAATTAGCTGAGTGGCCTCTACTCTGTAGATATAAATATCCCTGGATCAACAGTCACATTGTTCTCAGTCTCCATCCTCATTTAATGAAGGCACATGCCTGGCAAGAGGCCCCTGAAACACACACTCCCAAGGTAGACACCATCACAGACCACCAATATCCCAAAGCTTTCTCTGGTTCCTGTGAAAGGCTGGGGTGGCCCTGCCTGTTAACGGTTACTCTTACACAGGACTGTGTCTCCTGCTTGAGGCACTGGATGGTGCTGGGTATCACCCCTGCCCCCGACTTCCTTTCCTTGAGCATGTACCTCTTCCCTGTCTGCTCCTACCACACCTGTTTTAGACAGTGGATTGCTTATTTATTATGGGCCTGGGATCAAACTCCAGGCCTTGTGTGTGAGAGGCGTGCATTCTCCCTCTCAGATGCATCCCGGCCCCATCGCCACTTTTATAGATACCCTTGTTTATTTATATTCGGCTCATTTGCAGCAGAGTAGCAGAAAATTATAATTTGTCTATGATACTGGTAGATGTGGTTGCATGCTGTTAAACACAAAGCATCACAAATGAGTTCGTTATGTTTTAAAATAATTGGGTGACAGGTCTCTCAATTGCTTTACACGATGCAGCAACTGTTGGCTGTGTGTCATGAAGGCATTAGTTTGTTTTAGCTGTTCTAGAAAAAGCAGTTGGGAGCCCATTGTTATCTGTCCCCCTCCCTTACAATAGCTAGACACAGGCTGGAGAAATTCTCCAAGTCACACTGACAGGAATAGCTTGGGTCTGTGTAGTGAAGGATGACTGCAGTTACTATCATCCAGTCTCTGGGAGAACCTAAGACCCTCCTTCCCTATCTAGCCCATGCCCTTGATGCTGAAGTTGGAAGAACAATCCAGGAAAGTCCATTGGCTGTCAAACTTACTCATAGTGACTGGCGTAGAGCTGAGCTTATGACACAAAAAGTACTTACTGGGACATCTGAGAAGTGACTGTGACTCTTTCCTGCAGAGTGTGAGCCCAGAGTTGCTAGAGTCATTTGAAGTCATGTGTGACAGAGAATAAAGCCAACACCATGGGAGTAGGGACATGGAGGGAGAAGTCAGGTCAGGTGATGAAATGAAAACCCTGAGTATTAATTACTTTTCTGTTACTGTGATAAAAGACCAGGACCAAGGCACCTTATAGAAGGAAATGTTCCAGTAGGATAAGAGTTCATCATGGTGGGAAGGCATGGTGGGGGAGGTACTGGAGCAGAACACTGAGAGCTCACTCCTTCAAGCAGGCACAGGAAGCAGAGAGAACCCAAATGGAAATGGGAAAATTTAAAGCTCACCCCCAGGAACTCAAAAAGAGTCACCAACTGGGGACAAAGCCTCCATAGGCTAAATACTTGGAGCCTACGGAGGACATGCTCATCCAAACCACCACACCCTGCACTGAACTGTACCTGAAGGCTGGAAGCCTTTTTCTCCTAGGACATTCGGTTACATTGGCCAATATATCTCCATCTACTGAAGCAAATCTGGATTGGTTCTGTGTCTGCCAGGGCAGGCACCATTCAGTCATTGTGGGATGGAGGCTTGCACTGGACTCTGCCACACAGTAGGGAGAATGCACCAAGGTTCAGAAAGCTGGGAAGTTCCTAGTATCTCTGGTATGCATCTAAAGAACTTTGTCATTATCATAATCTGATGTGAGGGACCCTAACTTCTCAGGCCTCCTTGGATCTGTCTTTGGTGACACTGAGATGAAGCTTCTAGGCTTCAGGTTTGTTTTAGTGTTTAGTTCTACCCTAGTGCAGATGGCTCATACCGAACTGTCCACATGTTGCCCAGCTGGTGGTGCACATGAGAGTCATTCATTCATTCATGCAAGCATGCACTATGTACCGTGTGGACATGTGCTATGTACCAGGTCTTGAATAAAATGCTGTGGATGAGGAAGACATGGTGCCTACCCATGGCTGCGACAGTCTAGAGGAAGAGACCAATAAGCTGACAACTTCAATATGAAGCCCACAGAACTGGGTGGGAACAGAACAGATGGCCCCTGAACAAAGTCAGACAAGGCTTCCAGTGGTCAGGAGCCCTGAAGGCAGAATGAGTTACCCAGGCCAACAAGTGGGGTAGGAGGGGACAAGGGAAGGTCCATGGGAGAATCAATAGCATAAAAGTCAGCAGGTGGGGCTAGGGAGATGGTGTGTGCAAGGTGTCAGACAGGCTCAACTGCCTGAGTTCCCCCAGCACATAGTCACTGTTCAGAATTCGGTCCACACAGTGCTAGAGCCACATGGAAACAGCCTCCAGACTAGCACCCCTCAGGGGCAGGTAAGAAGTATCTCTTCTCTTCTTTAGATAAACTTACCAAAACACAAATTAGGAAAGGATCTTACTTACGTCCCAAAGTGAGGCAGGTCATTTTAGAGTCTATAACGTGAGAAGACTAGGTTCTAAAGTCACAGTGGAAGGTAAGTTCAATTAACCCTCTTCCCACCCTAAATGCTTACCTGCAGGTCAAAGAATTTGCTGTAGCGCCGGTAAATGGCCTCTGTAGAGCCACTGGACCACGTGACTCTGATGATGTAGACCTGCAGGGAGGAACAGGGACGACAGGTGTTAGTCACAGGGGGGTACATGGTTGGGATTGCCTTCCTCCAGTTCAGGCATTGGAAACGTCATTCCCAGGGAACTGAAGTGTAGGAAGGTGGACCTTTGGGGGAGTCGTAAATGGATTAAGGGCATTAGCTCAGGATGGGTTCACAATGACTGATGCATTTGTCAGAAAAGTGGGTTTGGCCTGCTTTGATCTCTCTCTTGCCTGCTCCTTCCATCTTCTGCCATGGGTTAAGCATCACAAAGGCCCTTTTCAGATGCCAGTTGTTAGGTCTTGAACTTCCCAACCTATAAGAAATAAATCTCGATTCTTTACCAATTACTCATCTGTGCTATTCTGTTACAGCAACACAAAGTGGACTAAGAAAAGGGTCTTTCTTCTGTGAGACCCAGGAGAACTGCAAGATTCAGAGCCAGAAAACCCCATATTTCAGTCTCAGCTCTGCCAAGGACCAGCTGGACCAGTCCCTTGCTGTCTCCAAAGCCTTAGCTCCTTCCTCAGTAAAAGGGAACAACAGCCTCTGCCTGCAGAGCTGTGCAGGGATTACACACATGACACTGGGCATGAGAAGGGACGGCAAGGGTCAGCTCCGGCAAGCTACTACTTTCTGCACTATGAGGACGTCTGGCTGCATCCCATATGGTGCAAAAAGCAACATAATTCTTAAAACTTAGACTTTTATCAAGACAAGTCAGAGAACCTGTACTCTTAACCTCTCCTACTCCCTGCATGCTGAGACACCCTGACATTTCCACCTATGAGGACTTAGGCCAAGCCAGATTTTCCCTTATATCCCAGCTTCTCTATCTGTGAACTGGTTTAACAGCACCTTCTTCCTCTGCTTCCCAGGACAGATGCAAGGCTGTGACAAAAAATCAAGAATTGGAACCTTTTTAGCAACCAGAAAGTGTTTCTCTGACCTTTGTTACATGTCACAGCATACACAGGAAACATACACTGACAATAAACTTGGGAAAACTCAGGCTGGCAGTCAGGTACATCCCTCAGTGGACGATAGCCACCAGAGGGCTTTGCTCAGTATTGATTATCAGAGCACCCTGACTTTACTCCTGCAAGCCTCCTTCCTTCCCCATTTTGCCCAGTCCCTTAGAAACAGAAGTGGCGCATTCCATGGTGATTGGGAGAGAGGTAAGCATGTGACCTGGGATGGGCTAATTAGAGCCAGTAAGAGTCAGCCCTGGGTCTCCCACTCTTGAGAAAGACCAGTGCTCTACCTCTGATGGTGCGGGGGTGGGGGAGTGTCCTTCTGTAGCTGGGTCTGCTTGAGAATGAAGCTACATTAGAAGATTCCGAGGTAGTAAACTAACTTTTACATCTATCTCAGCTTGAAGCCAAGTCTACAGATTTGTCACATCTTCTGAGCCAATAATTGCTTCTTGGGCCATAGAGAGTTATATATAATTATAATAGATGTAGCTTAATCAATTATTATTTTACTTGTACATATTTATGGAGTATGGTATAATCTGATACATGCATACCATGCATAGTGATGAAATCCAACTGTGTGATTATATGATTGATATATGATACATATATAATTTCATGCGTGTATGTATGTGCATATGTGTACTACATGTGAGCATATATATCTGTACATACATACATTTAGTGGTGCTGGGGATGGAAAGTGGGCCTTGTTCATGCTAAGAACACACTACCACAGAGCTACACTGCTAACCTCTCACTGAATGTATGTGTGTATGTATGTATGTATGTATGTATGTATATATATTATTTTATTTATTTTCATTTTATGTGTATGAGTGTACTGCCTGCATATATGTAAGTACACCTGTATTGTGCAAAGCACGTGGAGGCCAGAAGAGGTTATTAAATACCCTGGAACTGGAGTTATGGATGGTTGTTAGTTGCCATGTGGGTGCTGGGATTTGAACCTGAGTCCTCTGTAAGAGCAGCCAGTGCTCTTAACCACTGAGCCATCTCTTCAGCTTCATCACCGTGTGTGTGTGTGTGTGTGTGTGTGTGTGTATTATTTATTTACTTTTTTATTTTTTATTTTTTGAGACAGAGTATCCTGGAACTTGCTATGGAGACCAAGCTAGCCTCGAACTCACAGAGATCCACCTGCCTCTGCCTCCCAAGTGCTGGGATTAAAGGTGTGCACCACCATGCCTGGCTCATGCAGGCATATATATCCCTCCAGCTCCTGTGTGTAAAATGGTTTGGAGAAGGGCAAAGACATTAGAAAGGAGACTTCTGCATTGCTAATGAGAAGTTAAAGCTGACAGAAACTGTAGAACTCAGTTAAGCCAATGGGTAAACTGAGGCTTAGAAAGTCAAAACACTGTATTAAAGGCCTCTGCCCCTGGAAATGTTCAAGCGAAGTTTGGATGACTATCTGTTAAAGACACTACAAATGAGGATTTTAAAAAAAGAGAAAAGAAAAAACAGTAAGAAAGACTGTCAAATATTTTGTTTTTCTTAAGCTCAACACAAAGCATACTCCTGTGAATGGAAAACTTGCTTGTACAATTCATTCCCGACCTCTTGTTTACGATCTCTGAAGTTCTTCACATACAGTACAAGAGCTGCAGCGGGCCTAACTGCTTTACTGGAATCAAGCCCTGAACAAAACTTAATGTGGCACTGGCACTTCTAGGGACAGACCAAACTTTCTCCTCACAAGGCTTGTTCTATGCCAGCTTGGCTCTGTGCTGGGGGCGGGGGGAGGCGTTCGGGGCTGGAGGATAGCACATGCCCTGGGTTTTGATGGCACCTCTGCTGCTGTGTGGCACTCACAAGGTGCTGACCTCTGTGGCCATGGTGTCCTTAGCTCTGGAATGGAGACAACGGTCTCCCTGAGGATCACACACAATAACGAACAGTTATGGGCCTTGCCCAGTACCTGGTGCACATCAGGAGAGCACCCTTGCTGTGGTCATCCCATGCTCCTGTCTGGTACCTATCCCCTTCTTTTGGCTTCAGCATCAATTTCCCTTGGAGAACCACCTCTTTTTTTTTTCTGCCTTGATGATAAGGGTAGGCATGTCTCCCAGGCCTGGCCAGATATAACACTCTGCTAGGAATGCCTCCATGAAAAGTATTGTTACATGGGAAGCTGAGTGAAGAAGGTTGCACCCTTGTGACACTGCCTGAATCCCTGAGTCCAGGCCAACTCCTGGGCTTTCATGATCACAAGAAAAACAGACTGCTATAGTTTGAGTGTTATTTGGTTGTCCAAAGATCCAAAAGTGACAGCTTGGTTTCTAGGTTTGGAGGCTATGGGAGGTGCTGGGGACCTTTAAGTGCTGGGACATAGTGGGAGGTTTTAGGCGGTTGGAGGAGTGCCCTCAAAGGGGATTGTTGACCTGATCTTAGTCTCTCGCACTTCCTTGCTCAAGAGCTGACTTCCTTGCTCTAACATGCTCCTGCCCTGTCATCCGGCGTCCTCGACAAAGGCCCAAACTCACAGGGATGACCAATCTTGGACCTGAAATTCCAAAACTGTAAGTCAAACAAATCATTTTTTTAAAGCTAGTTACCACAGGTATTTTATTACAGTAATATAAAGCTAATACATAGTATCTTTCTGGTTAAATCCAGTTAAGAGCTAGTTTCTGTTACTTGCAACCAACCCAGTCCTGACCTACCAGACCCTGGCTTTTAGCTTATATCCCAAATTCAGTAACACTCAGTGGTTTGATGTTAATGCATTAAAAGTGACTTCCTCATAATAGCTAGAAAGTGGAAACACACGTGTCCACTTACCAAGGCACAGAACTATGAATGTGTGGAACTATAGGCTGAATGAGTTCCCCAGAAAGCACATGTTGTGAGGTGAAGCCTAACGAGAAGGTTCTGTCTTATGAATCAAATAATGTCACTGTCACAGGAATGGGTTCCTTATAATAGAGGCTTTTTTTAAAAAAAAATTGTTATTTTTATTTTGTGTGTATGCGTGTATTGCCTGCATGTAGGTAAGTGCACCCATGTCATGTAATGCCCATGGAGGTCAGAAGAGGTCATTGGATCCCCTGGAACTGGAGGTATGGACCATATAGGTGCTGGGACTAGAACCCAGGTCCTCTGCAAGAGCAGCCAGTGTCCTTAACCACTGAGCAATCTCTCTAGCCCTCTGTATTTTATGTTACAGATGGTTGTAGCTGCCATGTGGGTGCTGGGATTCAAACCCAGGTCTTCTGCAAGAACAGCCAGTGTTCTTAACCGCTGAGCCGTCTTTCCAGCCCCATAAAAGAGTTTTTTAAAAAGGATAATTTCCACATTCTTTTGTCCCTCTCACTTTCTCTTAGCCTTTCCATCACAAGACGACAGACAGGAAGGCTCACACCAGGGACCCTTTCATCTGGGACTTACCAGCCTCCAGAAATGTGAACCAACCAATTTCTGTTCATTATAAATGAACTATTCTGGGGTATTCAGTTACAGCAGTATAAAATGAACTGAAACACATGGATGAAGAAGATGTGGTGTGTGTGTACACAGTGGAAAACTACTTGGTCTTAAAAGGAAAGAAATGTTAATGTGCATTACAGTGTGGATGGAGGAATTATGCTAAGTGATATAAGCAGTTCTGTGCAATTGTGAGGTAGCTCCAGCCAGAAAGCAGGATGGTGGTTGCCAGAGGGTGAAATGAGGATTGGTTGTTTAGGGCTGAGTTTGAGCTAAGGAAGATGAAGACTCAGGAATGGATGGTGGTGAGGTTTACACAGAAACTGTACAGTTGAAGATGATTGCTATTTTTAAATATGTATATGTGTATGTATATTTTATCACAGTATAAATTGTTTTTTACAAAGAAGATTTCTTGTGGTGCTTTACATATTCCACATCCTGTTCCCTGGATATGATCCTAAAACCTTTTCCACAGCATATTCCTCAAGGCATGTGTGGCCTGAGAAGGGCATCTCTATAGGATGTATTTTTAAAAATCTCCAGACTCAAGAGTAGAAAGTAAGTACTCAAAGAGAC